CCCATCTCTTGCTTCCCTAACTCATTCTGGATACATTACAGCCTGGATCAGTCTTATCCGCTGCACAGCCAGAGCGGCCTTACCTGTAGCCAGTGCTGTTCCTGCCGACCACCAGGTGCTTGGGCTGATCACCGCATGTGTAAAGGTTGAAGTCGTTCTCGGGCACCAGGTCCACATCGTGGAATACGAAGCAGTCCCATTTTTCCTCTTTGAGAGCTTCCAGATAGCCCACATTCAGGAGCTTGGCTCGATTAAACTTTTTACTTCCAGTCTGTGGAGGAGGGAAATCAAAATGAAAAGAGCTCTGGAGATGAGGTTCCCCAATGTTCTCCCCTCCACACCCATTCCAGGGTACCACATTACCCTTGTGAATTCACAAGACAACACACACCAGGATCCAGAGAAGAAATGCAATGATCACAAAAGACCGGTTTGGGCTTCGCGTTGCACACATATTTATATTCTGCAATTTAAAAGCATCCCCTTGAGTCTGGCAAGGTGTCTGATGGTGGATAATATGCTTAGAAAGACTAAAAAGTTTAATGACAGTACATTTTCTTTTTGTCTTTGAGACATTCCTCCTTTTGTAGACCAAGCTGGCCCAGAACTCGCAGCAATCCTCCTGCCTCAGACTCCCAAATGCTGAGATAACAGAATGACCCACCATACCAGATCAGAAAACATCCTCACTGTTTTAAAAATACTTTTGTGTGTGTGTGTGTGTGTGTGTATGTGTGTATGTGTGTGTGTGTGTGTGTGTGTGTGTGTGTGTGTGTGTGTGTGTGTATGCTCGTGTGAGCATATGCCACAAGAGAGTAAGTGCCCTCAAAGACATCAGATCCCCTAGAGCTAGAGTTACAAGCAGATGTGAGCTGCTGGAATTGAGTGCAAGGAACCAAACTGGTCCCCTGCCAGAGCACAATGTGCTCTTAACTGCTGAATCATCTTCCCACACCCCACCGCACCCCACATACTTAATACTAAGTATGCTTAAAAGTTAACGAGATAGTTCTTAAAAAATGAAAAACAAAACAGCTGAGATGATAAATTTTATGTGGTATTTTAGCACACAAAAAAAATTTAATGTAGCTTAAAAATATAAATAAAAATGAAGCAACATTAATAGGGCACTTAGATTTCCGAGGCTAGAGCTCATGTTAAGTGTTCCAAGCTCGATTTCTAGAGTATCTTTATTACTCCATATAAAACTGCAAAGCCTCTTGTCACATCCTTGTCACTACTGTCCTGTCAGCCCTCTGCTGATCTCCGGCTAACCTTACACACTGGCACTGAACTTCCGAGAGATTAAGTTAAGAGCTTGCCAGCAAAGATCAAGAAATTGTGACCCATCAACAGAGAAGGTTGTTGCTAATACTTCTAAGCTACTTAAAACTTTCTTGGAAACAAAGAAAAAAAAAATCTTGTTACACCACTCACGGCAGAGGCTATTCCTCAGTGACCTTACAGAGGGATCTAACGAAACTCGACCTGCAATACCATCAACACTCCATATGGACTATGACCCAAGGACTTTTCAGTATTGCTTTGTTCAAGGCAAATCAAACTCTGTGAGAATAAAGTCTGATTTGACAGTTTATCGTAGCAATTTAGACATTACCACAGCACTTTCCTGGGAGAGTAACAAAGTTGATACGTTTCTGTTCATACAAATGACAGAAGACCTAGCCAGGCAGGGTGATGGCACATGCTTCTTATGATCTCAGTACTCAGGGGCAGAGGCAGGAGGATTGAGGCTTTCATCAGGCTAACTTGGCCAATCTGTGTGGGGGAGGGGTAGGAGAAGGAGCAGGAAGAGGAGCGGGAGACAAAAGGGGGGCTTGGGAGACTGCCACACATGCCTAACAACCTGGGTTCGATCCCCAGAACTCACAGGAAAAAGCCAGATGACTCTGTAACCAGGCAAGGCTTCCAGTAGAAGGATTGGGACACCAATCCAGCCACGAAACCTTCAACCTACAAGCTGTCCTGCCTGCAAGACATGCTGGGAGAAAGGTGGCACAGAACTTATGAGAGTGGCCAACCAATGACCGGTCCAACTAAAGAAAAAAAGAAGCCAGATGGGGTGCACCAGCTGCACCTCCAGCCTTCCTGTGTAGGATGGAAGGGAGAACCAGAATGGCCTGGAAAGCTCTCAGGTAAGCTAACGTGCCGTGTCAACAGCAGACACAGTAAGAGAGACCCTGACTCAACATGGTAGAAGGAGACAAACAACTCAAGCTATCATGCCCCAGCAAGCACAAGCACCCCCACACAAATAATTTTTGAAAGCAAACTAAAAATAGTACCACACTTTGGTAGCTACCCATCCTGAGTAATAACTCAGACTCAATAAATCACCATTTTGGCCAATGGCAATAAAAACAAAATTAATTCTAAAACCAAGTAAGTGGGCTGGAGATTTAGCTCGGTTGGAAGAATGCTTGCCAGCACCCAGAAGGCACTGAGTTCAACCTCCGGCACCAGCGGGAGTGGGTGTGGGGATGCCTGCCTACAATGCCAATATTTGGGAAGCAGAGGCAGGAAGATGAGGAGTTGGAGATCATCTCTGGCTGTGTTTCAGGCCAGCCTGGGTGACATAGGACCCCGTTCAAAGAAGAAACCACACACAAGAAGCTACAGGAGCTTCGGAGGTGGCTCAGTGGTTAAGAACATTTGCTGCTTTGCAGAGGATGTGGGTTTGGTCCCCGACACCCACATGTCGCCTCACAACCGTCTGTAAATCAAGTTCCAGAGAACCCAACACCCTCTTCTGACCTTGGTGGGCACCAGTCATGAACACTAGTATGCACTTACATACATGTGGGCAAACACTCATCTACATAAAATAAAAATAAATCTTAAAAAAGAAAACTCTAAAGTTTTATTTCAAGGCCTAAAAACTGGACACAGATGGACTAGATAAGGCCCTGATTATCAAATCTTTCAAAGTATATACTACACAGGAGAACCCAAGAGCTGTCAATTCTACCCAAAGTTGGTATTATCAGCTACATCCAATATTAAGTAAGCAGTAATGACTTTTTGCCCCCGTTCTTCTTAGTTTATAAGGATCTGAAGGGGTGTTATTTAAATGGCCCAGGATGATAATAAAAAGATTAGACACAGATGTTTAAATTGATGCTCTATTTCTCTTTTAATAAACTTTAATACCAAATAGAGGCCTCTTCAGTCACCCACCGTTGACTGACTGACCTTAACGCTGAGCTCTTCCAAGGCGGCCTACCCTTGGTTACGTGCTGTTCCTCCTAACTGCTTCTGGAAGCCAAATGAGTCAGTCGGGAAAGTGAAAAATAAACGTCGCCTGTTTGGCATGATAAACAGTGGTGGAGTTAAAGGCCGGGGCGATTAGAAAGCCACAGAACTGGCTGGCTGGCTGTACCACTTGGCCCTCCACGAAATCCCTGAGATCTCTCCTGCACAGCCACACTCAATAACAACAGGCAGAAGTCCAACCCAAAAGGAACAGGAGAGGCAGGAGAGCTCAGGGGTGTACATGGGCAAGTGCTGGTTAACGTGGGAGGGCTTGCAAAAAAAAAAAAAAAAACAGGCTTCCTCCCAGGGTACATTTCAGGATAGTAACATTTCACACGGAGCTTGGTCCGTGACTCCACACTCGGGATCAGAATTTCCTCTGCTCTCTGAAGGAAGAAAACTTTCCTTTTGATGATAATCCTTTCACCCAAGACAGAAGGACAGACCTGAGGCTGCCTCCGAGGAGTACGGGACCCTCACCTGGTGGATGATATAGATGCCGTAGTCCAGCTGCTGCCTCTGCAGGAAGGGGTGCAGGTGTTCCAGCAGGTATATCAGGTGCTTCTCTCTGTTCCTATGGGGGATGAGGATGGCAACCCGCTGCAGAGCCTTGCATTCCTCGGGGCGATAGCGGCCTCCGGACACTTCGGGGTTTTTTGCCTGGACTTCCTCCAAAGTGAGGTCTGGCTTAAAAATGAGCTTGCTCTGGCCTCCTGCAATCAACACGTGTTGTAAGAGGGGCTGTGGCACAAAGCCCTGGGGTTTGCACAATTGACTCGGATGAAGGCTTGGCTGGCCCTCTGCCTGGTGCACCGTGGGCACCAGAGGAGTCCCATGCCGTCATGAACTGTACATAGAACGGTAAGACAATGCCAGCCTGGTGACAAAGCACATAACTGGTGTTTGAGAGCATGTCCTGTGCCTGGGCAATCAACTCTGGGCTCTAGGATCCATTTCTGAACGAGGCGTGCCTGCCACCTCACGGCTCACTAGAGACCAGAAAAGACTGAGTCACTCCTCCACCGAAAGAAGAGTGGAATACAAAAGCCAAGAACATTCTGCAGACTCAATGCCTGCACAGGGCCCTTCTCCTACTTCTGCCCTCCACCCCTCATGCTTAGCTTCCTGCAGGCAAGGCGCTAGGAAGGAGCTGAAGGCCACCTCACTCCCTAGCCAGGGTGACAACCACCTACACTCTGCAACTCCTCTCCCATAATGCCACTAGGGTAGACATTTCCAGCTAACACAGCACCTGCCAGTGAAACTCAAGACTGTCCATGGTAATCAATCCTGGGCAAGGCTTCAAATATCAGACTGCAGTAAAGCATCCCCATTTTCTGACCTGAATTCAAAGGCTGTACTGACTAGTAAGGGAGGAGGCAGAATTCTGCTTAGGGACTAAGATAACCTTCCTTATACCTTACACCCGCTTTGAGACCCCCACATACACGGAACGGGCTTTAAATTCTCAAGCTGTTTACACGCTGTACCTGTGGCCTCTCTCAATAGCCTGAGGCATACTAAGATAGAGAGACTGCAGTTTCCATATCAGGTTAGGAAGAGATCTGCAAAGAGCCCCAGGCCACCCAACAAACCATTCTCTTAGTGTACACAGGGAGCCAGAGATGCCTGTCTGGGAGAGCAGCTGGACTATGCAGTCAGAACAGGGCACCCAGTCCACATACTGCTGTTTATTGTCTCTCCAGAGAAAGAAACACAAACAGATGAGCACCACACTGTGACCAGAACAGCAGGTGTAGCACACAAGGAGCTGAGATTTCCTGGGGCTCCGGCTGGGGCTGGTGCCAAGGCAATCCCTGAGTCCTTCCTAGAAGAGGAAAGCGATCTAAGCCGAGTTTCAGGTAATTACATAGGAACCCACTAGACAGGCATGGATTGAGGAAAGACATTCTGGGTAAGGGGACCTGCTGTAGAATGTTATTTCAAGGTGTGTTATTTTCGCTTATGCTCTGGAACGTTTGTTTAATGATGCAAAGATGTGTTTGATGAAATAAAATTCATCTGCATTCAGGAGGCTGAGTCAGCAACTAGCTGACAGGAAGTGGTAGGGAGGAGAGCCAGGTGAAAAGCAGTTTATAAGGAGGGACAAGAAGTACGGGGCTTTTTGGAGCAAGGAGAGGAGGTGAGCTACTTGCTATTCAGCCTCTCTGAAGAGCAGAATTCCACCTTAACCTTTGGATCTTGAGTTCTTTAGGGGGACAGAGGTTTAGTTAAGTTCCCTTCGTAGCTTTGCGAGAGTTGGAGCCTGAGGGAACAGATTTCCCTCCAGGCTATGGCCCTTGCGGCCTAACTGCTGCTGTTAGTGATGGAGTTGCAGCTGCTGATTCAGACAGCTGTGGCTTAAAAGGCAGCAACCATTTAAAAAAAAAAAAAAAAAAAAAAAAAGACAGCAGGGACCAATACATGACAGGACTTAAAGAGCTTTCTGGGAAAGTATGAGCCCTCTGATGCTCTGAAGAATCAATATATGTGAAAATTTTTCTCTTTCCAATATACCATGTCCACTAAAACCAATGTATTGTTCATTGATGCTGAAAGGCAAGAAATCAAAACATACAAGATCCTGAAGAAATAAGCCTAAAACAACGCTGAAGAACTTAGTCTTATCTCTTGACTCCTCTGGCCAAAGGAGCACTAACAGATAAGACGCCAGTGAAAGACTGCCCACGCTTGCATCTTCCATCATTAATTCAGGAGAGCATGCCCAGGCAGTCCGCTGTCTTAGAAAGAAAGTGAGAAGCACGTGGAACAGAACCACAAGTTCAGATCAGCTGACCTAACGCAGTATGGATGATAAAATGATGTTCACTCAAATGATAGGATTGAACTGTATATGGACGAGAATAAACAAAGTAGTAGCTGAGCATAATTTTGAGTCACAACAGATGCTGCCCGTGTCAGGTTCAAAGACCAGTGAATCCTAAAGTCAGGATATGGAAGGAGAAAAGTATGGGTCCTACAAAATTCTTAAGAGACATCATTTCTTAACTGGCATGCTGACTCCAAGGTATATTCATTTTGTGAAACTTCATTAGGCTGTATTCTCCTGACTTTTGTACTTCTCTGCACATCTATTAAATCATTTTTTTGTAGTACAAAACAAAAACAGCAAATACTTACTGAGGTTTGGAGACACAAAAGGGCAGTCATCAAGTTCTGCTTTTTTCATGGTTACATCATGGGCCAGAGTGTCTTCCTTCCCCAGAGGTAGCATCTTGTGGAAATTAGCCATGAAGATCTTTGCCTTGGGGATCACTTGAATAGGACCCACAAAGTAGTTGCTGGTGGCCCATCCAACCACAGTCAGGCACAGGGTAAAGAGCAACAATAATCGTAATCTATAGGAGAGGTGATACGGTGGTTTACAACCCATGTCTCTTATTTTGTGAGCAGCGTGTATCTCCGCTTCAGCTGGAGTGGAGAAGTTTCCAATCAGACTTTTCCAATCAAAGAAGGTAACTTAGGAACGATGATTGCCATTGCCCAGCAGTTCTGATCCAGAAACCACTGAAAGGCAATCACAAAGGATGTGTTGTTTTAAATAGAAATCCTGTCCTAAAATGACAGGCCTCAGCACACATTAGAAACCCGATCCCAGCCAAGTCACAGTCTCAGGGAGATGCTAGCCCAGGGCAGCGTCCAACAGAGGCAGGGTGGGACAAGAAACACCAGAGGACCCAGAGAGAGGAGGTCAACAATCTACGAGAAAAACAAGTAAAGATCTGTGACTTGGGTTCAGACAGAAACCACAATTCTACCACATATTAGCCATGAGATCTATTCCTAGTCACTTTACTGAGCCTCTCTTTGCTTATCTGGAAAGTGGGGGTAAAAAAAACACCTAGCTAGATAACATCTACCTTCCTACAGGGCTGGACAAGCAAATAAAGTACTGACCAGCCTCCTGGCACACACTAAAACGGCCACCAAATAGTCACCATCACTCTGGCTGCTGCATTAAAGGTACTAGTCCAGGGATGGCCAGTGGGCAGATGTACTGGCAGCCACCTGGACCACCACTTTATCAATGGTGTTTCTCACAGGTGATAAAGTATCCTGATTTCATACTTCAATATCATGAGGTGGGATAATATAAATTCGCCTCTAAGAGGAGCCATGCTTCGTTATTAACAAAAAATGCAGCTTTTCAGGGTACTTAAGGTCTACCACCGAGACCGGTAAATTCACTAGATAGTAAGGATACTTGCTGAGGACCTGTGGGGCACAACTTACAACACCCCCCACATCCTCTCTGCACCAGCAAAGTCCCATTACGCCTCAAATTCTAAACATCTTAGCAAGGGAAATGCAGCTAGTGCTAAAGCCAGACTCGGGATAATTTCCAAACCAACGGGGTAGGAGAGTTTGAGCACAAGATGTTAAATCACCAGTGAGAAGAAAGGAAAAGGAAATGCATGCATACATACATAAAGTACGTATACCACCCCACCCCACCCCACCTCCCCAC